CCGGAGGTCCAGACATAATTCGGGTCGGTTTCCGCGGAGTGCGCCTGATCTACTTGGGCCAGTGCGCCTTCAGCGGGCCGCGCAAGAAGCCCACCGCGGTGCTCGCGAACGCGCCGTGGTTCGTGGAACGGCGCTGTCAGGAGGCGCCGCCGCGCCGCCGCATCTCGCTGGGCGGCCGCGTTTGGGGCCACTCCGAGCAGCGCGAGGTCTGGTGCGCCGCCGAGGCGGGTGAGCACCCTGGGGGCGGCGTGGTGCGGGCGCGGGCTTTTCGGGATTCTCTCGAACAGCGGGCCCGCGGCGTCGAGGGCGTCGGCAGCCGGCTGGCGGTGGGGCTGCAGATGGGCCCCCGCGCGCCCGCTGGCGGTCGCGCGCGCGCGCCGCTGGGCGAGCCGACCTGGGGCGAAGCCGGGGGGCAGGAGAATGCTGAGTGCGTCGGCGGGCTGAGGGGGGCCACTGCGCCGCTCGCCGCCTTTCCCGGCCCGGGCGACGGCCGGGGGCGTGGTGAAGTGGGCGGTGAGCGAGGCGTTGGGCGCCCGCCCTGCCGCTGAGGAGCTCCTCGGGCGCGACGGGGCCCCGCGTGGCGGCGGCGACCCCGCGCGCCTGCAAGCTGCTTTCAAGGTGGGAGGGGCCCGCGAGAGCGCCCCGCCCTCTGTGGGGCCATCGGGGAGGCTCAGGATCGTGGCAGGGGCTTTGCCGCGACGCGGGTCGGCCGTCTGGGCCAGGTGGAGCTGCGGCCCCGACGTCGACGTCGCGCGCGGGATGGCAGGGCGCGCCCCCGCCCGGCGTCGAGCGGCCCACCCCCGGCGCGGGGTGATTTTAGATCCCCGGGCGCCCCCGAGTCGCAGGCCCCTCGCGCGTCCCGAGGTCTCTCCGAGAGGGCCCCCCGAGCGCGGCGGGGGGCACGTCGACGGCGACGGCTGCGATGGGGCGCCGCCCGGGCGCCGCGCGGGAGCTGCAGCGCCGGGTGCGGCAGGGCTCCCGGGAGGACTTCTCGGGGGCGGCCAAGAGGGGGGGTGAGGACCTGGGCCTTCACCACCCACCAAACCACCCCAAGCCAACCCGAAGGCTCAGATTTACCATCGATTTCCAGTGGGGGGGGGTGTCGGGAAACATCGAAAAAACACATGTGGAACCCTTACCCCCCCCACCCGAAATTCGGATCTTCGGGTTGGGTTGGGGTGGTCTGGTAGGTAGTCAGGCCTCTCAGATGGGGTCAAAGTAGATGGGGTCGGAGGATCGCGCCGCATCGCCGATGCGGAACCCAGCTTTCTCCACGCCGACAGCGCCGATGTATCGCCGACGTCGCCGATGCATCGCCGGTGCATCGCTGGTGCATCGCCGATGCACCATCTACTCCGACCCCATCTGGGAGGCCTCTAGAGGACCAGGGGGGGATCTCATGGCCAGGGCCATGCTGTCTCTCCCAAACTCCTGGCCCTTCTACCTATTTCAATGCGTTTCCTTGCCCCCGCCTGGTCCGCGCAGATGCCTCGGGCCATGATTTGCGCGCCCCCCTCTTGGCGTCCCCCCTCTTTGGACGCCCCCGAACTTGGTCCGCTTTGGGCCGACTTTGTGGCTGGGATGACGGATGGGGGATAAGAAAGTGCGCTTCATCGTCGACGTGCGCTGCCCTGGCGTGAACGGCCCGGCGAGCGTCGGCGAGCGTATCGTTCTCACCAGGCCTAGCGACGTGGTGCGCTGCCTCCTCGTTCTGATCGGCCGCCGCGATTCGCCAGGAGGCGCCGACGTCGGCGTTGAGCTCCTCAGGGCTGACTTCGCCGACGAAGCCCTCACCCTGGGGAAGGTGGAATCCGAGAGGGCTTCATGGTGGTCACCGACGGCGAGCCCTACAGTCGGGGCCCTGAAGAAGGAACCCTTTTCGTTGGAGAGGGGCTCGGCGTTCCTTGATGGTTCTGCAGTTTGCCTTCAGTTTTCCTGAGGTTTTCCATGCGAAATCGAAGTTCAACGTATGGGAAAGGGGCCTCGTTCCTTATTTAGGGTTCCTTAGGTCAACGCCCCGACGGTACTGCGCCTACCGCGGCGTCCCGTTCGGCCTGGGCGCCGCTGTGGTCATTTGGGGCCGCGCAGCCCAGCAGACCTCAGCATAATCTCGAAGTAAGAGATGATCAAGCGGAGACCAAGCCGAGCACGTTTTGAGACATCCTTGGCGTTTAGTTTTCATAGAAATATCCTCAACAATGGCTTATCTCGCTGGAATGGAGGAAGCTATATATAAAAAAGAAAAATAAAAAGAATAAATAATAGAATAAAAGAAATGATAGGAGGAGGAGAAGGACGAAGAGAAGAAACAATCTCGAGTTTCAAATCTATTAGATTTTATTTACAAGCGCTTTATGAAAATTGTTTTTTTGTAAGTGCTCGTGTAGGGTAGCTCATGTGCCTCAATTTCCATGGATAATCAACCCCAGAGATAAAAAAGTTCAGGCGAGCGTGGGGACAGAGAGAAGTATAAAAGAAGAATAATACAATATAATAATACTAAGAAAGAAGAAGAGGATAATAAGAAGAGGACGAATAAAGGACAATCCAAAGTTCAAAATCTATCAATTTTAATTTACAAACGCTTTATGACAATTGATTTTTTAAGTGCTCGTGTAGGGTAGCTCATGTGAATCATTTTCCATGGATAATCAACCCCAGGGATAAAAAAGTTCAGGCGAGCGTGAGGACAGATAGAAATATAAAAGAAGAAGAGGAAAGTAGAATAATAATAAGAAGAGAAGAAGAGAAGAAGAAGAAGAGAAAAAGAACGGAAAAATGCAAAGTTCCAACTCTATCAATTTTAATTTACAAACGCTTTATGAAAATTGATTTTTTTAAGTGCTCATGTAGGGTAGCTCATGTGCTCCCCTTTCCATGGATAATCAACCCCAGAGATAAAAAAGTTCAGGCGCGCGCGGGGATAGCAACATCGCTTGATGTTGCTATCTCAACATAGCGCTTCGAGGTGATAATGAAGTTCGGCCTCAGCGCTCGCCGCCCAATTTGAATTTTGTATAGGGCGACGATAATCAACTCTAAACACTGAAGGGGGGGGGGGTCCCTTTATTATCATCGGCATGCGGTTACTTTGTTCGCCTGTTCAAACCTCGGTACCATACACTGTCAGGAAGTATCAGCCGAAACGCGTGGCCGGCCCTGACAACAAGTCTGATGGTTCGGCATCGAGGAGTAACCTACCAGGAGGAGGGATGACTTTGACAATGTTGCTGCTGATGACGATGATGATGATGATGATGATGGTGATGGTGATGATGGTGATGCTGATAATGACGATGATGATGACGATGATGATGATGATGATGACGATGCTGATGCTGATGCGGATGATGACGATACTGGTGATGGTGATGCTGATGATGCGGATGATGCTGATGCTGATGCTGTTGCTGATGATGATGATGACGGTAATGATGATGATGATGATGATGATGATGATGATGATGATGATGATGATGCTGATGCTGATGCTGATGCTGATGCTGATGCTGATGCTGATGATGATGCGGCTGATGATGATGAGTCTGATGATGATGACGATGATGATGATAACGATGATGCTGCTGATGATGAAGATGACGATCCTGATGACGATGATGATGATGATGCTGATTATGTTGCTGATGATGCTGATGCTTATGTTGATGCTGATGATTAGGATGATGCTGTTGGTGGTTATGCTGATGGTTTTGATGATGATGACGTTGTCGGTGATGCTGATGCTGATGCTGATGCTCATGCTGATGATGATTCTGATGCTGATGGTTTCGGTGGTTATGATGATGGTTGTGATGATGATGATGATGATGGTGTTGCTGCTGACGATGATGATGATGATGATGCTGATGCTGATTATGAGGATGATGCTGATGCTGCTGCTGATGATGCTGATGATGATGATTGGTGGTGGTGGTGATGATGATGCTGATGATGATGCTCTGGATGATGATGGTGATGATGATGATGATGATGATGATGCTGATGATGATGATGATGTTGCTGACGATGATGATGCTGATGCTGATGCTGATGCTGCTGCTGCTGATGATGATGATGATGGTGATGATGATGATCATCATGATGATGCTGATGCTGATGCTGATGCTGATGCTGATGCTGATGCTGATGCTGATGCTGATGATTGTGATGATATCGATTACCATGATGCTCATCATGATGATGATGATGATGATGATGATGATGATGCTGATGCTGATGCTGATGATGATGATGATGATGATGATGATGATGATGATGATGATGATGATGATGATGATGCCGATCACTAGGATGCTGTTGATGATGTCGGTGATCATGATCAACAGGAACAGGATGAGGAGGAAGAGGAGGAGCACAACGATGGGGAGGGGGAGAGGATGGGACTCTGTCGAAGGACGGTGGTCTCTTGTTGCAGTCCTTCCTCGCTTTCCGTTGCCAATTTGCAGGGCTTGCCTTATCTTGCCTTATCTTGCAGCCCTGCCCGGTGCCCGCCCGAGCGTGCGCGGGCGTCGCCTGACGCAGCGGGCGAGGCGCCCCCACGGCATGGTAAGTTTTGCAGCCGCCCGCGCTCCTTCGTGCCCGCTTTGCTGCCAGCGTGTCACGCCCGTTGCCCGATCGGCGCCTGCACCCTTGGCATCGCTCGGACGTGTGCATTTTTTCTCGGCGACGGCCATCGAGGCGACCCTAGAACCTCCCCCTCGGCCCTCGAAGGTTGAGGGCAAGACTTGGCACCACGTCGTGCCCGAGACGAGCGATGTCCGCGGGCGACCTGTGTGCACTGCGCCGCGGTGGAGTTTCCCGGGGCGTCGTGGGTCCTCGAGCCAGGACTGGGTGCGGTGTCCGGTCAGGGCCGAGCAGTCGTGCACCGTGCTGCGTCGAAGCGGGGTTCCAGGGAGTCCAAGCAGTGCGCGGTGCATGGGCGCCTGTTTCGTGGGGTGGCGACCCTGACCGGCGTGCGCCTGTCCTTGCGCCCTTCCGCAGGTCCTCGGCGTGGTTCCACCTCGGGGACTGCCAGGCGGTGCTGGAGAGCAGGCCCTCGCCAGGGAGGGAGCAGGGCGAGGATGATGATGATGGTGCTGATGATGATGACGATGATGATGACGATGATGATGGTGATGATGATGATGATGCTGATGCTGATGATGATGATGATGCTGATGATGATGCTGATGATGATGATGACGATGATGATGACGGTGATGATTGTGATGATATCGATTACCATGATGCTCATGATGCTGATGATGATGATGATGCTGATGATGATGATGATGATGATATTGATTACGATGATGCTGCTGCTGTTGCTGCTGCTGCTGATGATGATGATGATGATGATGATGATGATGATGATGAACCACGCGTCTAAAGAGGTCGGGAGCTGCTAGCTCGTACTGCCCTTCGGACCGAAGCGTTTCCCTCTGGCCCTGCGGCGGCAACGCTCGGTCTCGTGCTCCTCAGCGCACCCTCGCAGATTCACCTGAGTGCCAAGAGGCCGCCCGCCGCCCCAGCCGAAGCAAGCGGTAGCACGGCACCCGAGCAGTCACGGCGACTCAGCCCGCTACAGCAGCACACACGCGCCAAAGCAGAGCAACAAAGTCCCCAAGGCTACTGGCCGCCCACTGGACAACCTTGCTCTGCGATTGCGTTCGGAGGCGATCCAGAGAGTCGGTAGCAGGCCACCTACCCCCTCGGTTCGGCCTCCGCCCTGGCGCGAGAACAGTGCACAAGACAGGCGGGCTGGTACGCAGCAAAGCTGCAGAACGCAAGCGCCACTTGACGTGCCAAACGGCACGGACAGAGCAGCGCAGCGAGCCCAGGAGGGGCAGGAGTGAGTGAACCCTGACGTGTGCCGAGCCCCGAGGGGTACGGCCTCCGCCACGGGGTCCCTCTCCCCTCGAAGCTCGCAAGCTCGTCGCAGGCATTCGTGATCCTCGGACCCGCCTGGCGCCACGAACACACAGCACCGCGCTCGGCAGACCGATGGGTCCCAAGCCGCAGTGTGCCACAACTGCAGTAAGGCAGATGCCGCGCGAGCGCGGCAGAAGAAATGTGAGAAAGTTGTCGGGACAGATCGCGCCCGTCAGCGACTGCCGCGCGCCTCGCGGGCTGCGCGGAGCTTGGCGCCCAAGGCGGCGCGAGCCCCAGCCATCAGCCCGTTGTATCTGGCCCGGAGCGCCACGAGCTCCGCCCGCTCCGAAGGGAACTACTGCTGCTCTTCGGGCTGCTCAGAGTCGCGCTGCTGGTTGACGTCGGACTGCTGCTCGGAGACCGCCTGGATGTCCACGCGCATCGGCGTCTCGGCGAGAGCGGGCTCCGATGCAGCCTTGTCCTGGGCCTCCGACTCCTGCTCCTGGACCCGCTGGGAGTCCGCCCACGTGCACTCCTCCTCGAAGTGCACCTCCCTCGTGGCCCGCGGAGCCGATCCCGACCTTCTCCTGGAGGTCCTGCTGTGCAACACCTGGCTGCATGCGCCCGTCGTGCTTGACAGCGTACTCCGACGGGTCGCTGCCAACAGGCTCATCATCTGCAGCCTCATCATCATCGGCCGAGTCCCTCTCGCACTCCACCCCCTTCAGCGCCGTGGTCGGCGGGCAGGCGCTGGGTGCCTTCGGGCCGGCATCCCGCCCGAGCTCCTCGAGCCTCCACTGCCACCACTGCGCGCCACAGGCGAGGGGTGGAGGAACCGCCTCAGGCGCCGACCGCACACGATCCGCCAGCACGAAGGCAGTGCCGCGGGTCGCGGCCCTCCCCCGCCTCGCAGCCGTTCTCCATGCTGTGCACGCGGCGGGCTCGGCTGCCTCCGTCGCCTTGAGTGCCCGTGCGCTCGCCGGTACGGCGGCCGACGCTGTCGGTCCTTCCCGCGCCCCCGATGCCAAACATAACATTGTATGGAACGGCGGACCGAGCGAACCGGCCGGCGCCTCTACATCCGTACTGTCCCCTTGGCGCGCCCTTGTTTTTCCGCGCCTCCTATGTTATCCTTCGCCTTATGCCTTAACCCCTTCCTTATTCCACTCCCGTTTCCCTTGCTGTCCTTCCCTTGCTTTTCCTCTTTTCCTTTGTGCTCTTCCTATTCCCCTGGTGTATGGTCC